TATGTTGTATAACACTTGGTACAACAAATGCTTGGCACTTTCATAGCTCATACTGTATGATATAACCGACACCTGAGCTATAAAAGGAACTTGATTTGTTGTTAACATAAGTTATAATCATGAATGCTTGACGAGATTTACAAGTATTAGCATTAATCGAATAAGATGACTAATGTAATCATGTTAACAATCTATAATATGATTGGAACCTCCTTTGTTTGTGGTTTCCAATTGAATAATAAGAGTTTATACTATACTTGTTTGACATACCATTAGTGGAACCTCTAACCTTGACATTTGTTATTATTATTGTTTAATCCTTACATTAATTTTCCATCTCCAAGTTCTCATCATCTTCTTCTTCTTCTCTTTCTTTATTACTACTACTACTACTACTACTACTACTACTACTATTATTATTATTATTATTATTGTTATTATTATTGTTATTGTTGTTGTTGTTGTTGTTGTTGTTGTTGTTGTTGTTGTTGTTGTTATTGTTATTGTTGTTGTATTATTGTTATTTATAATTTGTACAATTAACCTCCCTGTGGTTCGACCCCGGTCTTGCTGGGTTATTTATTACTTCGACACTCCTGCACTTGGGAGAAGACATCAATCTTTTCGTCATGTCAACATCCCATTTAAAAATTCAAAAATGTATTTATATTATTGTTAAATACTTTTGTTATAGGGAAAACTATCAAATATATCTTTTTATAGTACATGATTTTTTAATAAATTGTAAGCTTTATTTTGTTCATATTTCCATTATCAACTATTTTTATTAAGAATTAATTATTAATAGCACAATATGTGATTGTTTCAATATAAAATTATATAAAAAAATGCCTTTAAGTCAATTATACTCTTTTTAAGTAAAAAATAAAATAATTCATGTTAAGTTGTGTTACATATGATAGTTTCAATATGTAACCTAGATTACTTAGGTACAAATTTCTAGACTAATATTTTTTTTATATTTTGTAATGATTTGTTGAGATATTTTTACCAATTCATATTTTAGTGAAATTAATTTAACTAAGGGATATATTAGAGAATCAGAATAAATTAAATGTTACATTTTTATTTATTAAAAGGTATGATAAATAAATGGTGTAAAATATAAAAGCATGTCTATAGGTTTCCTTCTTTTGTTATGAATAAATATATCCCTAAATGGCAGGTTTGGTGTTCAACTATGTTTGTTTCCTTTCTTGAATTTCTAGGTTTAAATATTGGAACCATAATAAAATAGATTTTTATTTTATTAATAATATTTTTCTAAATACACAATGGTAGTATAGAGAGTTCACCCTTGAAACTTCATTAGAAAAGGACTTAAACTTAGATGACATCCAAATTGGTTCAAAAATACCTTTGATAAAATTGTAAAAATCAATTAAGTTAAATAAATTTTTTTAAAAAAAGAAACTGCTGGTCTTTTTTTTTTCTATCACTAGAGTGTCCTCAAATATCCTATTAATATTTAACTACTTAAGATAGGGTTAGTAAAACAAATAACTGAAATTTTTAATGCAGTTTATTACCAACCTAGATAACTTCGATATCGAACATTGCTTTATTACATGGAAAATTGTGCTTATCCCATGTTGTTTTCAAGTTCAAAATGTGATTATTTTAGATTGTTTAACCATACATGCATTGGAGTTTTTTTTTATAAGAAATTATGACTATTTAAATTTTGTTGTGCATATTATCAATTCAAGCTTTTTGCATGTCTGCTTGCTTTCTTAATAAGTAAAAAATATTTGTTTTCTATAATGAGTCTATTTTTCTATTAAATTCATATATTTTTTCCCAAATAATATTATTTTGGTTATTTCCTAGATTTGGATAGTTATTCTAAGTGTATATTAAATATTCAACCATGTATTGTGTATCTTATGTTGAAAATAAATTGAAAATATTTCAATTTTGACAAGATAACATCCTTAAATGATCCTAATAATAATGAACTACTAGAGTTTAGGCTAATAAAGCAAACTAGTAAAGTTCATAATGGTATTTATTATTAGCTTGAGGTCAATTTTGATGTTTATTATATGTGATTTTCAAGTTTAAAATATAATCTTTTTAAATTTTTCATCTATGCCACAAACCTAAACTATAAATCGTTAGCACATAAGTGGAATATCAAAAAGCATATAATAAGCATGTTCGATCAAGACACTTAAAAAAAAATAATCTAGTATGGAAGGACATACTTCTAATTAGTCATCTAAAATATGAAAAATGATCTTCTATCTAGAAGAGTCAATGTATTATTGTTAAAGTTCTAAAAGAGATACATATCATCAAGCTAAATACGATATGAAACTATATTACTGATCGATCAATGATCAATATTTGAGAAAATACTGTCCCTACAAGAATAATAAGCTAGAAAATAAGGGTCTTGAGAAAAATAAGAAATTATAGGATCACTCTAGGATTATATTAATTGGATCTCAAATATAATTACTTTAGCTTGAGTTTATAAGGTAGATTATATTTTCATTTATCCTTACAACGTGATTTCAAAATGTTAAATAATTAGTTAATATATGTATAAAAATAACATTATTATTGAAAATAAGAGAAAGAACAAATATATATATATATATATAAACAACATCAACACATGATCATTGTTTTATTAAGAAATAGCTAATGACCCTAGCTTTACAAGATTAATAAACCCCAACAAAGTCTTTTAAAGCCTTTCTTCTAGATTGTCTTTACTACTCGAAGAAAATAAAGATCACATTAGATAATTTTTAGATATTTATTTATAGACACATACACACACATGATCTATGACTTTAGTATCTTTAAAGGCTAAATTAGCCATAGCCTTAATAAGCTCATTTTCTATCTGAACTGGTTCTTTCCTTATATGAAATATCTTGGCTTTTTAGGAGTAGATTTATAAAGAAACATCTTTAAAGGATTAATTATCTTATTGAATAAGCTAAATATTTAATTTCCAATGATTTTCTCTAAGTTTTAAAAGATTATTGGATAGCTATGTAATCTTGAATACTTTTATTAATCATCTTTAGTATTGATAAGAGGATCAATATCTTTCTACAACCATGTCAAGACTTCTCTTGCACAATTATTTATTGAATTTGAACTCCAAAGAAAGGGGTTATCCCTAAATGAGCCATTTTAGACAATCATTATAGATTTTATTACCTAACACACTATCATTTTAAGACAATAATGGTCAATACCTAAAACACTTAGAATTTATTTCAAGAGATGAAGTGTCCAATGATAAAGGAGAAGAGATCTGAAAGAGAAGGACATCTAAAGTCTTATGATATAAAAAAAGAAAGTGTTTGCTAACCTTAAAACCATATAGATTAAAAAGTTGTTTGAAGTAACAATATATGTTTACATATTATTTTGGAGGGGCCATAATATAAAATTGATTTAGCATCATGATGTCTTCCTTTTTAGTGGAAGATGTAGGAGAAATAATGCTAAATTATAAAGAAATGGGTGCTCTTAATCATTTGCTTGACTTCTTCGACCACTCTAGTGGTGGTTCCAAGCACAAGAAACAAAAGAATTTGCAAGTAATATTGCCACAACTCTTTACTCTTACTCTTACTCTTCTTTTTTTTATATACACAAGCTAAATAAAGAAACTTTTTTTCGATAGAAGAAGCAGCCGACATGAGCTCTTGAAACATAGTTGGTTTCATAGTTAGAACACACAAGAAATTGGCTCGTTGTCTTGTCTATTGTATATCTGGTTCTTTCCTTGGACTTAGATTTGGATTTGAGTTGATTTTTAAGTTGAAGTGTGTTTTTGACATAGGGCAAAAATATTTAAAATTTTTATTCATGACAAAAGAACTTTAACTCTTAAAAAACCATTAGAAATATCAGTTATTAACTTGGTGTAATGATGTATAAATGACATAAGCTTATCAGTTGAGTTATTTTCAATACAATCACCTTTTATGTCTACCTCTTGTAAAAAAAACAAGAGAATATAATTACTAATTATATTAACTTATAATGGATATTTGGTGATATTAGGAGTAGCTATGCTAATATCTTTATTGGTTTTTTTTTTTCTCTAATGTCACTTTTTTTTAAACTAAAATAATACCTTTCTAGTAAAGTAACTATCCTACTAATAAAGCTGACTTCTAATAGGGTTATATATATTCAATATAAAAAGAATGTATTTTAAGAGATTTCATTACTAAAAAATTAGAATATCTAGTTTTATTAGCAGGTCTAGTAAAGTAGACAATGAAGAATTTCTCTCACCACCATTAGAACACAATTAATTTTTTTTAAAAATAATTTTAAAAATTTATTCAGTCAAATCTTGATTTTATTTTTCTAATGAAACTCTAGTGACTTTCTAAAGTTTTTTTAGTATAATAAGGTAATGTGTAATAATACACAATTAACTTTTTACAATTTTTTATATTTTTATTTATTTATTGTCTTAGCTTAATATATAAAATAATGATGTTGTGTCATCTAATATTAACTATCTAATATGTTAAAATTTTGTTTGATTTTATAAATAATTTTAAATGGATTTAAATTTTTACAATTAACTTTTCCATCATTAAAAATTTACAAGGGTCATATTAATAAATTAAATTGATGATAAAAAACCAAATAGCATATTGACAAAAAATTAAGTAATGCTTGAAATTATGGTGATGATTGTTTTTTAAATGTATTTTATTTAAAAATATATTAAAATAATATTTTTTAATTTATTTCTAAAACAAACAAAATTGAAATAAAATTTAATTAAAAATATAATAAAAAATTTAAAAAATATATTTTTTAAAAAAACAAACAAACTCTTCAACCACTGTCAATCTCAAATAAAAACACCAATTTCTCCACCTTTATAATTTATTCGCGAAACCGACTACTGTTACGACTCCCTAAACCGGAATGTATAATAAAACCGCCCGGTTTACCTAACTAGAATGAATAAAAGAAAAAAAGCGAAGGAAAAATAAATCCCCCGTTCTCGTTCTCTATCTATAGAAAAGAAAAACCACGCTTCGGCTTTGCCTCCCTGCTAAAATCGCACCACCCAAACCCTTTTTCATTACTTAAACAGAAAAAATAAAAAAATAAAAAAATCTCTCTCGCTCCCTTCAATTTTTACCCGCCCAAAAGGTTTTTATAACGTCTCTAATGTTTTCAATTCTTTAAGCTTTCTCCTTCTCTAGGGTTTCTCCTTGGATCTCTATCTCCTCTCACGCCTCTAATCTCGATCTCTTGCAGGTGCCTGTGCTTGAAACGGCGTCGTGGTCAATGTACTGACTTCCTTGCTGTTTGAACAAATGGATCCATCGGCGGTAGATGATTATAATAAATGTCTTCCGCAATCGGACGGTGAAACTGATTTGTTTAGCGAGAAGAGACAAATGGAGAACGTAGAGAGCGAAGAATTGGCGGCTAAAAGAGCTAAAAAAGGCGTTGGTGAGATACGGAAAGTGGCGGAGATAGTTCTGGTGCTATCTGCAATGGCGGGGATGAGAGGAGGGAAGAATCCGACGGAGGCGGAGGTGAGATTGATGGAGGAAGCGAGGGAAAAATTGGTAGAGATTTGTCAGGATTTGTCGCCTAAGGATTTAGTGGCTAGAGACTCAATTGGGACTGTTATTGAGGACTTAGGGCTTAATTTTAAGCTTAAAGATCAACGGTTAGGGTTTCGAGGATCTAGGCTGTCCATTAAGGAGAAGCTCTCCCTTTCAAAGAGGAAGGTAAGCGATATAAAGAAATTCCTAATTTTTGTGTTGGAAATTTTGGTTTTCCTAGGCTTTTATGTTTGTCTTTATTTATTTATTTTTTGACGCTTGATTTCGTATTAATCTTTCATGCATTCAAGGTTGGCTTGCTTTTGTTTGCGGGTCAACAAGTAATTAGCCAAAGATGTTTTGGACAGTTTTTCTATGGGAATTGCTTTTTTTTTTTTTTTAATTTCAGATGCGAGCCGTTATATGTTTCAGTTGATTTGGATATAGTTGGATACTTGGATTTTCTGTCCTTAAGATGCTACAAATGACTGTAGTAGCGCATGTGAGGTTGATAGCTTTGATTTCATTCAAAAACTCGCGATATCATTGCTGTTCTTAAGATGCAATACACAAATTACTGTAGTAGTGTATGCGAGGTTGATAGCTTTGATTTCGCTTGAAATTAGCATTGGCTTGTGGTAGAATAGTTTGGTTGCTTGGTAGGCGATATGAAGAGGGAAGAAGCTGGGACTTAGTGCCATGTATCCTTTATTTTCTTGCACTCGATAGAATAGAATTTCACATCCTTGTTGGATGGTGCTGGAGAAGTAGAAGTTTTCAAACACTTCTTGTGGTGTGCCTAGTAAGGCAACAAGGTTTTTTAGCATGGAGGATGTAAAGGTTAGATATAGGAGGAGGGTGTAAGTCATTGTTTTCAAGAAGCATTGGTGGGAAGTTGTAGATGTGGTTTAAGTTCTCTCTTTTTTTTTTTTTTCATTATTATTTTTTTCTTATAAATTTTTTAAGCTATCATGTGCATTTCCTTGTGAACAGATGTTTCTTTTGTTAAATCTGTCTTTTTTATTTTTGTTTCTGTTGTTGGGAATAAAGGGGAATTATTTGTACTAACTCTTCATTTCTGCTTGAGATATTTAATTTTCGTTATGGTTTAGGTCTGAATTATATTTAAGTATAAGTTAAATAAAAGTAATCAATGCCAATGACACTATGGATTGAAACAATTACTTGTAAATAAAGCAAACTCAGTTGTACAGAAAAGTGATTTAATGACAGGAAAGAAAGAAGTCTTATAATTTTATTGCAAACAAAGAATTACAATGATAGGAAACAAGTAGCCTCCCACCACTCAAGGGAATCACTCCCATATTGGAATCACACCAAGTTAAAATAGGCTTTCTCTACAACATATCCTTCCAGAAATAATATTCTGCAATAAATAAAGTTACAATTGACAGTTATTAATAGATAACTACTAAGGATAAGAACAATGGCAGTTGTAGTTAACTTCTACTGTCATTTATTGCCAATGTGTATGGTCGAAAGTTTGGCCTGCATAGAGTGCTCCCCTTTACTTGAACTAGTTTAATCTTTGTCAAATTTTATCACCCCCTTCTGCTTGTCTTTGTTTTGAATACTGCCATGCTTGTATTTGTTTTGAATACTGCCTTCTTGATCATAAGAATTTGCATCAGTAATCCAAGGTTGTTCTGTGTCTGTTGGGGGAAGATTCAAATTGACTTCATGCTCTGACTTCTAATACTTCTCCAGATGGAAGAGTCCAAGAAATTTGCTGCTCCTTCAGCTACATATACAACTCAAATAACACAACCGAGCTTTGGTGCAATGCCTGAAAGCCATGGGCCATCACATGCTTTTCGCGTGCTTTCTTCAGATAAACCAAGTAATATATCAGTATCTTCTGGAGTCTTTCCAGCTTCTTTGCCTGGTCATGTTTCAGCAGCAACCCCAGCATCCTCAACACTTCAACCACTCACCACTGAAGTTAAAATATCTACTGTTTCCAGTGGGTTACCTAGCAGTCAATTAGGAAGGGATTTGTCTTCTGTAGCATTTTCTAAAGTTGAAAAAACACAGTTTAAAGTGGAAGGGGGATCAAATGGGGCATCTTATGCTCCTCAAGTACTTGGTAATTCTCCACATCTTTCTCCCTTTGCTCTGACCACTTTTCCCCTCTGCGCATAGTAATGGGAGTTTTTCTTTTTTTTGCCTTCCCCCCCCTTTTGGATTGAAAATGCTTAGGTTGCGACTCTTTTCAGTTTCATTTACATGCAAATTGTGAAAAATAAAATAAAATAAAAATTTAAGAATATCCTTCAAGGGAAGTTATAGAATGCATACTCTCAAGTGTAGGGACCATTATATAGAATGTATACTCTTAGTGATTGGTAATGTCCAAGAGTCTTCTCTGCCAAATTTCAAACTTCATTGGATTTTTCTGAGAAACAAATAATAGAAATTCCTAGTAATAGAAATTAGTTGGACCTAAACAAAAACACTTCAATTCTGATCTTCATGCAATTTATGTAAAGAACATTCTTTTCTAGGAACATTATCTATTTAATTTGAGCATGTGTATTTGGAGGGTTAAAGCAAACTTGTTAGTCTTTCCAACAAAGATAATTACTTGTTTGCCATTCTGCGGAGTTCTGTGTTACAGGCAGCAAGTGATCTATCATTTTTGGATTTTTATCTTCTTAAGCTTTCTTTATACTTCCTGATCTCTTGGAATCATCATCTTCTTTCTGTTACTTGTTTTTGTTGGACGTTTAAATATACATGCTTTGTAAATTATTAACTGCAGCAAATGCTTCTGCAAATCATTCACTGGTTAATGCTCCAAGTTGGTCTATGCAACCCCATTCTGCATCCTCAGGTAAATCTGCACCAGAAAACAATATGCCAAATCATAATTCTGCCAAGGTTGAGGGAGCTGCTGACTTGGGTCGGACTCGTGCAACTCAAGCAGCAAGAGATCAAACATTCAGACCATTCACATCTCAAACTCCACCTGCAAATTTGCCAAGCATACACCCGCCTATGCAAGGCATGGAGTATGTTCAACCTCCATCGTTTATCAACAATCACAATGAAATTGCTAAAATTGTTCAGAAGTTATTACAGCCGAAGCTTCCTGAATATCCCACATGGATTCCGCCTTCAAGAGAATATATGACTACAGCAATGACTTGCCAAATATGCAAACTTACTGTCAATGAGGTGGAAACTGTTGTTCTTTGTGATGCTTGTGAGAGTGGATTTCACATAAAATGTCGAGAAGCAATTAATCAGAAAGGAATTCCTAGAGGTGAATGGCACTGCAGGAATTGCTTGGCATTAAGCAATGGGAAGCCTTTGCCCCCTAAATATGGCCGTGTCATGAGGAGTGCAACACCACCAAAAGGGCCTTCTAATCCAGCTGGAAGTCATTCATCATCAGAGAAGAAAGCTGAAAATGTAGATCTAAAGGTCAATCAACAAAAGACTACAAATGGTGTTCAAAATCATGCTGGATCTGGTTCTGTCAACAATGTTGAATCAGCATCTGAGATCTACACAACAAGTGGAAAGGATGCAGATCAGAGTGCATGTAGTTTCCCCAACACCACTGAAAGATCTACACAAAAATATCAAGTTTCTGAATCACCTGCACAGGAAAAGAGTTCACTTTCTGAATCATCTGAAAAAATCAGCAACAATTTTGAAGATTCCAAACCCTTGCAAATCTCACAAGACATTATCCTAACAGAACAATCAGATTTTCCCAAAGCTCCTTTGACACCTCATCAGGATCATTCAATCATGGAAGAGTCAGCAAGTGTAAGAGGAAATACTGATTGTTCTTCAAGATTTGAGGTCAAGAAAAGTGAGCAAGATGTTTTGCATGCAAATCCTGTAGGAAGTTCTGTACCTAATAATTGGGTTGGAAAACATCCTGGCTTGTCTTCCAGTGGCATTCATAGTGTGGAATGGATTGGTAATGAAATTAAAGTTGCAGATGGAAAAAATTTTTACAAGTCCTGTTGCATTGATGGAGTGTCGTATAAAGTGCAGGATCATGCCCTTTTTCATTCCAGCAATGGCAAATTAACACCCTCTAAACTTCAGGTGATTGAATAATCTAGCATTCGATCATATAATTTATAGCAATTATAATTGCAAAACTACCTAGAGGAATGCGCCAAAACTTGGTTTTATCCGAGTAAACTTTACACAGCCATCTATATAAGAGTTGTTGATTTATTTCTTTATTTTCTCATGTTGATGTGTTTTTGTCACCTTTTATGGTATTATTTTTTTCTTTGTGAAGCCTAATATGGAGAAATTGGCTTTTTATCACAGGCCATGTGGGAGGAAATTGAAACCGGATCAAAGTGGGTTCTTGTTAGTCAGTGCTACTTTCCTGGTGACTTGCCTGCGGCTGTAGGCCACCCATGTGCCCCTGAAAGTAATGAGGTGAACTGTTTCCTCGTATACTTTTGCATTTTGTTTATATTTACACATTAGTTTGGGATGGACTTGCTAGTTTCTCTGTTGTATATATGCATTTGCACTCATGCACACACAGATAATGCTTGAAAGCTGATGCTCACAAATTGAAGTTAACAAACTTTATTGGGAATTAAATTCTATTAGCCCTCTTCTTGAATTGGCTGTATGTGTGTAAGGAATGCATTTCTGTTCTGTTATAGGTCTATGAATCAAATCATGAAAGCAGTGTGATGGCTAGCTTGATTGAAGGCCCATGCGAAGTTCTTCCTCCTAACAAGTTTAAGGAAATGAGTGAAAGACAGAACCAGTTAGCAACCAAGGCAAATAATGGATCAGCACCTGTTTTCATATGCAAGTATGTCTTTTACAACTACTTATGGTTGGTGTAGAGAACTGCATGATATGTCTATTTGGTTCTATGCATATGTGCTTATGCCTGTGCAGTAGTTTTCCTGGTTATCATTATAGTTTCTGTTATATAAATTGTTCCAGAAGCCTGTATGGTAAGAACACTCCTCATGGAAAAAGTTCATTTTAATTATTAATAATTTTATTCTACATGTTTATTTTCACAAGCAATGAAGGAAAGAAATGAGATTGAGGGAATGGTGATAGCAGGCTGGTTGTTCTGTAAGTCTATCCTCATTAGAGTGACACACAACCTAATGCAACAATAACAGTGGCAATCACATTACTAACTCGTTCAATTTTGATTGACGGTGCCCCTTTAGTTGCTTGAATTCCAGGGTGCTTCACATGTTTTGTTTTTAATCATTCAGCTTTAGCAATGAGAGAGTTCTTAAGTCAGACAAATATATTGCAATAATCTTTAGGGACAGCATGATGCTTCACTTTTGCCACTTAATTTTGCTATTGGAATGATAATTGAGATCATAAACTCAGCAAAAGCCAATAGGCTCTTCCCAGAAGATAGAGCGGTGGGTTCTCAATGTCACATTTCTGTATAACTGTTCTGTTACTGCAGTTTTTCCCCCCCTAATCCCAAAGAAGAAAAAAAATGAAAAAGAAAGACTAGACTTTAGAATATGCTTGTTGTATTAGAAATGCCTTGAGTAGATCACTATATTTTATTCTCTTTTGTTAATTTTTTCAGATAGTATGTGTTTTTTTCCTAATATTCTAAGGAGCTTTAATCTGTGCTGCAAAACTGATGAAGAGTAAGAGATGTCTAGCAATCAAGTTCAGTTTCAACGTGTGGTTTCTTTATCAATTCATTTTTAATGACTTTTGTAGCAGATACCTTTATTTTTGTTTGCTCAAACCCATTGAGCAGAAATGTGGTTCAATTGACAACATGCCTTTTTTCTCTCAAATAAGCCTGTAGTCAACTTGGCCAGTTGTCAAAACTCCTAAACCAGCACTTGGACCTCAAATTTTAGGATTGGGCCAAGTGTGTAAGTTTGTCCCGTTCCTATCATGCTTGATAAGAACATCTAAAATTTTATAAGTTTCATTCGGCCTGGTTTCAAATAGGCTTCTTTTGGTTCTTTGACAAGAGAAATTTTCTGTTGCAGGTGGTTTTATGATGAGTTGAAAGGGAATTTTCAACCTGTTTTCCATTGATCAGTCAATACACACATATATTGAGACTCTTAGATGGTACCGGTGCTTCCTTTGATCAGGTAACAGGTAACTAAGTATCCAGTGATAGTTGTTGCTTGTGATGTCATTTAGAATAATGCTAAGTTTTCGACCATACAAAAAGGTAGTTTTCCTTTCATTAGAATGTATTGCATTTATCTCCAAGGCCCCCTTTGAGTAGGAGAAATTTCTTAAAATGGTGATGTTTGTGTGACCAAAGTTCGCTTATCCAATGAATCAATCTGTGTTTGCCAACATTTTTGTTTTAGTGAATATAGATCTCTGCCTTTACAATACCTGGGGGCAGAGCTGAAGTTTTCTTGAATAATTCATTTTTGGATTTCCACTTAACTAAGAAGGAAAGTGACATGGGTTGTGGAAGCAGCTATAAATATTAGGGGCTGTTTACCAAACAAAGCAGTTGTCTTGATAACTTTCTCAGGAAAGCAGAGCATTGTTAATGTGTTAATCAGAAAATGAAAACTTTTTTCTTTTTAGCTTCACTGGTTTTTGTAACCTATCAATTTACTTTCCTAATTTTTCAAAGTTTGAAACATGTGTTTTCTTTTCCACCTAACACTATTATAATTTCAAGTGTACTCATTAACACAGTTTCTAGTTTTAGAATTCTAGCCAAAAAAAAAAAAAAAAAAAAACTCAAATGTTTTTATGGAGAAATGAAATACAGAACTGGACAAAAAAATAGTGAAAAATGAAAATGAAAATTGAATCTCCTTCCCCTTATCCCACTCACTCACTCAAGGCATGCATGGACTTGCAGTTACCTCACAAAATACCACTATGAAATTGTTTTTTTGGGGCGAGATATGGAAAAAAATACATGAATGCAACTTTCTAGTCAAGCTCCCTGTCATCCTATGATTATTTCTCCCCTTTCCATCCCTTCTTTATATACTTATTTCACAAGGATAATTATTCATTTTCCTCTTTTTTGTCAAATACCAGGCAATCTACATCAAAGGGACCCTGCAGGTTGATGAGTGAGTTTAGTACTCAATGTACAATTTGTAGCTCTAGTTCTTTGTATCATTATTTCCATACTAGTTCATCAAAATTTTTAGTCAACCTTTCATGCTTATCAGGTAAATTATAGAATGAACATTCTGCCCTATTCTCTCTAGAATTATATCAGATTTCTACTTCAAATGTTCTGAAAATGCTATGAATGGCACTCCATATGGTAAAGTAGGAACGAACATGTGACACGCCCGCTCGTGTTCTTTCACTCACACACACACTACTAACAAATATAGCAAGTGATATGTGGACCCCATTAGAGTTAAAGATTCATCAAGCATGTAAGCAAATATCACATGAGCTTGTATGAAATTTGAATAAGAGACATGCCTGTTTGTATGGGCATTACTGTGTATATTGAGGGGCAAACCTGAAATTCAAGCATCATGGCAGTCAATTGGATTGTTGTATCATGTTGTAAATAGGACGGAGGATTTGAAGTTTGATATATCTGGAGTGGTGCAATTGCTTTCCTTAGCTGCCAATTAGGATGTGTTGCACACGATGTGGGATGATTGCATCTTGAAATGCTTAGACTTAAATAAAAATGCAATGACCACCTGTGTCGCCAATGCTAGCTTAGCTCCTTGATGCGAACTTTTGCAGGAATGTGTTAGTGTGACAATGCGGGCAATTGGGTTTGGGGGTATTTTTGATATTAGTATATCAAAATAATTAAAAAAATATTAATTTAAAAAAAATTAAAATTTTTAGTAACGCTAATTCGACCATGGACCGTCTTTTCAAATGGATAATTGATAGTGCTGCAATAGTTGCTGTAGGACGGTTAATAAAACTTGTGCATTTTGTGTTATGATATGCATGTCCAAGAGAATGGAAGTATGTGTCAAATCAATTGCAATAATCTTGCTCGATGAAAGTGTCCGGTCTGTGCTGCTGGATACGCTTGTGGACAAGAGCATTTATAAAGGTTGGGAACAGAAATTGAATGATCACGGCATATATGATCAAACAATTTGCTATTCACAGGATATGTTATTCATCATACGAATAAGGCTAGGCAAGATGGCCTTCCCATTTGATCGTCTTAAATCTTAGTCAGATTTTTTTTTTAAATCTATATATATATATATATATATATAATTATGATTATATTCAAATGAAATTATGATTTTTTTTTAAAAAAATCATTTTTCATATTTTTATATCTTAGCATGATGATCATTAGCATAGCAAGTTGTTTTAAATCATTTCTAAGATAGTAGTGACTAATAGTAATATAATTATATGCTAACAAATATTTTTTCTTATAATTTTCTAAATATTCATGTGAAAAATACAAAAAAATATGCATGTGGTACATATAAAATTGGTTGTAAAGTTCTTTACTAAAAAAAAGGAAATTCTTAAATGCATTTTTAGGATTTTACTATTTATACAAAGTTATAAAACATAACCTCTTCATCTAACAATAGTCATTTTCATCATAACTTTTCCAAGTCCAACACCAGGAAATAGCCCAAATAACCATCTGCATAACCTATTTTCATCATTACATTAGTTAATTAACAAAAAATATATTTTTATTGAATTTACAATCTCCCCTCCACAAAGCATTGTTCACTAAATTAATGCTTTTTATATTTTTTTATTTTTATTTTTTAATATTAGATTTATTAGGAATTAAGATTTAAAATTTATTTTAATTTGTTTTCTATAAAGTTTTTTTAATATAATAACTTGAGTTATAAGTTTGGCTGGGTAACCCTAATTGACTTTATGTTTTGGATTTTTTTTAATTGGTTTTTATTTTTATTTTTTCTTTATCTTTAATATTGGATTAATAATTTGTTTCAATTTACTTTAAATAAGGTTATCTTATGATGAATTTGATGGGGTAGCTTGAGTTAATTTTAATTATTTTTTAATTTTATTATTTAATATTGGATTGATTTGAAATTGAGCTTTATAATTTGTTTTGATTTGCATTTTATAGGGTTATTCTTATAACTTGAGTCATGAATTTATTAAGTTAACCTGGTTGACATGAATCAATCTAATATGTTTTTATTTCAATATTTTCTAAAAAATATTGTATTGGATTTTTTAAGACAAATTAAATTTTTACAAATCATTCAAGTTGTATTTGGATTTGTCAAGTCAATCGGGTCATATCTATGATTTTATTTTTTTATTTGAAAACATGCTAGCTAAGTCTAAATTTTTTTTGCATTAAAAAATAACTTGATTTAATCTACTTGTGTGGACTAACTATTTAGTTATATGCTAATCCATTTATGCTACTTAATAAAGATAACCATGACAAAAATGATTCTCTCAAGAAATAGAACCATTGTAGCACATCCATAAAACACAATTACAACTTGATAAACTCTAAAAAAACCCCACCTTAACCGACATTAAAATTGAAGGTGTAAAGTGATTCATCACTAGTTTTGGAATCTTTAGATCTAAACTAGAATTTTGTTTTGCTTATTTTTGATTGAATGGTTTGATATATGATTTTGAGTTTGTCTTGGGAGTCAATGATGGTAATTTTGGAAAGTTTAGTTAAAAATATAATTAATGAGTATATTTAAGGTCAAATTAAAGGTGAGGTCTACTTACTTTTAAAGTTAAGATTTTATGGAATTTAATCTTTAATAAAAGCTTTTTAATATGAAATATTAACATGTTTTAAATAAAGTATGGGTGAATGAAAATTTAATTTTCAAAAATCCTTGGTTGATATAATTTGATAAAACTTAAAACCTTCTAAAATAACTTTATCCCTCACTAGAAAGAAACAAAACTTTCTTGGTGTTTATAAAATGAAAAGCTGAGAAGTTAAAATTGGGTCTAAAAAGCACTTAAGCTTTTGAAGGAGAGAGATCTTAAGTAAAGTGGGCTATGTGTTTAAACCCACACACACACACACGTGTGTCAGCCTGGTTTGGCTTATGCTTGGCCATTGAGCTAGGCTTGTGTTTGAGTTTTATAGTAAAATAATATTTTAGGTTATAAAAGATTATTTTTTGCGGTCTAGAATTTGGAGTTGGGCCTGGTCCATGAAAAATTATTTTTTCCAGCCCAAAGGTTTGTTTAGTACAATAAAGGAAGAATTTGATAAGTTTTTCTAGTCTTTCAATAAAACCTGAATAGTTTTTTCATCTTAAAAGTCAATTGATTTAAATAAAAAAGCATTTAGGTTTAATTTTAGTTTATTAAGGGTAATCATAATTGTTAATGGAGGAAGTTCATCAACCTTTTGTTCCTAAAGTTCTCTATAAAAAGGGGTTGACATCAACTTTTTGTTCCTAAAGTTCTCTATAAAAAGGGGTTGAAAAAGAGTGTTTGATATTGGTTAATTTTGCACTGTTTTAATAGAATTTGACACTTTTCTTCACCTTATTTTTCAGCATTGCTCTTTGTTGTGATGTTGCGGTCGCACAAATTAATTACCCTAGTTTCAAACACAACACACAAGATAATATAGGGCAAGCAAGGGGTTGATCCCACGAGGAAGGTTCAAGTTAGATTTTTATGCTAGATGATATGCAATTTGAGGGGTTTGAATGTTATTTAGGCTAAAACAAAAGAAATTAGAAAACTATCAAGCAAAATTAAATAAAATCAGAAAATTATCAAGAGAATAAACCTTGATCGCAAGCACACATTCATCTACAGAAATTAGAACTGATCATGGAAACGAAAAATCAATTTATATTATGAATATTTATCTCTTCTTAACACTGGTTAGTTAACGGACTGGTTAGTTAACGGATCCACCGTATAACGAACTCTAACCATTAAACAACCATAGTGTCCACACTAGTAATGTAATTTAATGGTAGCTTTTAGAAATAGATAAGTTACTTAACAAAGAAAATATAATTGTCTGTAGTCTATGTTTGATTTGATTGAATGTTCTCCCTAAGATTAATAACATAGATCCGTTATAATTATTAAACTCAGTTGCTTCACAAGTTTATATCACAACTCTGGTTTTGATATTAAACTTCGCAATAGATTGTCTACAATAATAACTTAAAGTCAGCTTTATCAATTAAAATAAATAATCAAAGGAAAAATAAGCATAAAATAACAAACATATTCATTATATAAACTTAAATGAAAAGGTAAAATAAATCTCACAATTCTTGAAATTTAAAGGTTTCTGTGTCTTTAAAACCAAGAAAAAGTGTTTAGCCTTTCATGTTTGTTGAACAACTAATCAAAAAAAAGAAAAAAAATACATAATTTTAAGTTTCTTAGAGGAGAGAGGTGTTTTTCTCTTCTTGGCTGGCTGCCCCCCTTCTCTTCTTTCATTCTTTTTATATCCTAGGATACCCTAGTCTCTATTTTACAAAATAGTTCTCCTTTAAATAGACAGTTTACATTTAAGTACTTCAATAATTATTTTCCTAAAGAAGGAGAAATATTCTTGTATGAAATCTTCAAGCTTTGACTTAGAGGAAGTAAATTGCTAAAATAAAAACTTGGATATTGGTTTAGATGATTCAAAATGTAATTTGAACTCATTTCTTCATGAAATCTGTTTGTTGGCAGAATTCAGTTGTCATCTTTGAAAAATTATTTCCCTTATACGATATAGTTTTTATATGAAATTTGAGCACTTATAAGACTTTGAGTCAGGAATCCAAAAAATTAAGTTTGCATCAATTAGAATTCTGTAACTCTAGATATTCAAGTTAGAATGACCAAAGGTCAATACTAGTATATTGTGAGATTTGACTTGGAAGGCTGAAATTTCCATGCTCTTTTTTATTTTATTTTCTTGCCTTAGATATACAGAAAGGTATGGATATTAGGTTTTTAATGCCATTGGAATCACTTCATTTCAACATCTAGAGCTCACATTTTACACAAAACATCGACTGAAGGTCAAATCTGTCAATTACCTTCAATTTACTCCTTTTTGCATCTTTCATCCAAAAGTACCTTCAAAACATAAAACAAAGAATGTCAAGGAATTTTATATATAAAACATCGACAAAACACTATTTAAATATGGGTAAAACTATCAAATAATATGATTGCATCACTCTTCTAGTTTTAAAGCTTTATTTCTCCTAATTTAGAGCTTATATTCAATCATTATAAAGGAATAATTGAGTATTATTTTCTTGGTTTGTTAGACCTTATTTATATGTGCACCTAAATAATATGGAGTTGTTGGAATCCTA